TGATTCAACAGTCTTACACAATTCACAGCACTCACCATAGCACATACCCTCCCCAATGACTATCACCCAGGCACCCCATCCCTCCAACCCCCCACGACTCCACCAACCCTCAGTTTGTTTCCTGAGATTAAGAGTTCTTCATATCAGTGAGGTCATATGATACATGTCTTTCTCTGATTGACTTATTTCGCTCAGCATAATACCCTCCAGTTCCATCACATTTTTGTGCCTTGCATCTGCATCTTAAATTTACTTTTCTTTGTGCTTTTTAGGATTTATTTCCTCAGTCATAATCATGATATCATAAGTTTACCTCTAGATACTCTCGAACAACTTGCTCTGGAGTGTTTCCCAAAAACACATAGAAGTCGAGAATGCCCCCGATGGTGCGGTAAGTGACAGCTGGCGCGGGCTGGAAGGCAACCTCTTGCAAGATTTAAAAGTGGAAAAATAAAATAAAATAAAAATTAGAATTTACTCTAGAGTAATGACTACAAGGTTCTAGACCAAAGGATCGCCAATCATCTGAATATTAAGAAAGTGGATCTAACACCTCAAATTCTGTATACAAAGGGTCACATTCTGATGATCATGACATGTGAGAGGCAAAGCATTTGTTCTGTGACCGATTTTGATCAATGGTGACTGGACCATCTTCGCTCCCATGTCAGGACTCAGGCTTTCATGAAAAGGCAATCAGTTTCACGAAGGGGTCCAGACGAAGCCACTGTAGCACAGAAGTTATTTTAAGCTGAAGACATTTGAGTTTCTGAAATCCCTTCTCAACAAAAAGCAGGGCTTCCCAAAAGAACTCAGTTGTCATAAAGTCCCACCCCTGGAGCAAATCGAATCTTCTCCGAGACAATACATCGGCACCACCCCCAAACATTGTCACAAGAATATCCTATCTCCCAACTGTTCTCCTAAGGGCTCATTTATCTTTCCCAATGTTTCCCATGGGATCCCTTTCTCTCCCTCCCATTTGCGTATTAGGGTGGAATATAAGCCCCAAATTCTAACCACCCCTCTGAGAAGTTACTCTTCGCTGAGCACTCCTCTGTGTATCAATGCTGCACATGTAAATAACCTGTCTTTTCTCTTGCTAACCTATCTCTTGTCAGTTTGACTCACAGGGCCCCAAATACTGGACTGGTGAGGGCAGAGGAAAAGTGTTTCTTCTCTGACCATCACAACTACAGAACTCGTTGCTCCCACCTCACACCCCATCATCATTGCAGGAATGTAACCCAATTAGACGCACTGAGGTACCAGCCTCAGTGAATCTCACATCAAGCAAAAGCCAAGCTAAAAAAAGTATGAGATTATATTATAAACTCCATATCCCTCTAAGCCCCAATCACAGTTCTCAGAGGTGAAGTCTCCCCATAGCCTTGGTTTGCATTTAGGAATAAAAGGTTTCAAGATCTACTGAAATGTACTCTTCGGTTATAAGAACAACTCACACAGAGTATCTAGGATCTTGGGACCTTTCTCTTTAAGCCTGATTCAACTTTTTTTCTGGTTCCTTCCAACACCCTGAAACTATGCAATCCTTGTACTATGTCAGTCAATTCTTAGACTATTAGGTATCTTAGAAGTATTTCAGGTCACCTAGAGTGAATCTCAATCTGCAGTGGAGGATCAGAGATTTATTTTTTAAATGTCCAGTTCTTTGCAATCTGATACTTTCTACAAAATAACATGAAAACAAATTGCTAGAAAAGGGTTCATACATGCACTTGGAAGCTACCTCAATGTTTATTTTCCATTTCTATACTCATCTTACTGTAGACCTGAAACAGTCTGTCAACCATCCGTGGGCCATGCTTTGAGCAGCTCTGATCCAGTCCATTGATTCTCAGTTGAGAAGAGGTAGGGATCAATATCCCATCAACCCTGGGAGATTCTAATATATCTCCTCTTCCCCTGTGGTGATTGATTCATTGCCACTGAGATCCATTGTTACTGGTGCAAGCAGAAAAAAAGTAGAGAATCATTGATCCAATCTAAACCTTCAAAGATGGGGAAGCTAGCTACTTTTTGGAATCCTATGATGTTACACTGTTTGGTCTTAAACAAATTGATTTTGCAGGGCATGACCCTTGCCACTCCACGTTGCCTTGCTACCTTTGGATTGTCTGAATGTAATATTCACTGCTCAGTTGTAGCTCCCTGGTTAGGCCCAGCTACTGTCATCATGAGGCCAAGGGCATTTGGCTGTTTCCTAGTAGATTTTATATCAAACCCTCTACTGGATGAAAGTCTAAAGAAGGAAAAGAACAAATTGGTAGAAACTGCCTCTGAGTAGATTATAGGAAAGGCTTAGTTGTTTTAACTCTACAATAGAAAATATTCCAAAAGAGGTAAACAGATTCAGGAAAATCATAAGCTAGGAGAGAAAGCCCTACTCATGGCTACCATATAACAACAGGTAATGAACTAGGGATGGGACAATCAGAGAACATGCAAGTCCCTGAGCTATGGCTCTGCCATTCTTAAAGGACTCCATTCCTTTTATCATAGTGCTGAAAACTGCTCTTATGCATTTTTTCATGACTATTCCTTTAGTCTTTTACCCATGGCATTGCTGTTCATCAGAAACACTCCAAAGGACAATCCACTAGCATCTTCAAGACACAGGAAGAATGTCTGTGTACCATACAAGTTAGTTCCATCCTGCAGAAAGAAAATTAAAAATAAACTATAACTTAACTTATATATTAACTTAAATAAACTTAATAACTTATTAACTTAAATAAACTATAACTTATTAATAAAAATAAACTATAATTTAATTTTAAATAAAATTAAAAATAACCATCTAATAATCTAAACCCCAAATGTCTAGAAATGACTTAAGAAATCAGTGTTAATCATGTGGAGTAACTGACAGGGAACTCCTGGTCAAAGATGACACAGATAAATCTTTAACATATCAAGTCTAGGTTTGGTTGATGTCAACCAAGTGAATTAGTATTCTCTTATTGAATTGAGCCAGTTATGACCATTTATCTAGTAGAAATGTGAGAGCTTGTGATATCTGTCAAAATGTGGGAGAACAAGAATTTTGAAACTGTAGTTCAAAAAATCTCTTCTCTCAAAGAGGCTTAACCTAACCCCATCTGCAAAAGCTCCATCAAGCCTTAATATGAATCAGACATCTTTCTAATGTGCAACTAGAGGGGGCTCTACTCAAGATATCTTGGTCTTCCAGGCTTTCTGAGGTCTAGACTTTATACAACTTGAGCTGATCATCTAAGATTTTGGAACAGTAGTTCTCAACCTGGGGCTGCATCCAGTCCAATTAAAACAGAATCCCTGGGGGTGGAAGCAGGCATTGATATTCTGTTAAATTTCTCCAGGTGATTCCAATGAGTAGTCATGTTTGAAATCACTGCTCTAGAACAGCATTTCCTAAAATTTGGTGTGCACAGAAATGAGATATGAATCTTAGTTAAATGCGGATTCTAATTCAAAGGAAGAAGGAGCCCACATTTCTCACATGGTGATACACATTTGAGTAGCAAAGGTCTCAGCCTCCTTATTAAATAATTCCCAGATGAACTGCTCTGACTCAACACCTTTTCTGTCTTTCTGATAGGCATATGGTAGAGTAAAGAGCATGGGCTTTCCATTACACAGGCCAGGGGTTAGATCCTATCTCTGTTACTTCAAGCTTTTTTTTAAACATTGGGCTATTTCTGAGCCTCAATTTCTTACCTGTTAAATGGAGTCAATTACGCTTAATTTTTTAGGGTTCTTTTGGTAAATAGAGATCATGTATTAAAAGAATCACTTAATAAATTATTCCAGTGATCTCCCTTATCCAGAAACTAGTTCTGCTTAATCAGGAACAAGATCTGTAGGTAATATTGCTGAGCCTAGGAAGTAACTCTGATTTAGATTTTCACAGTCAAAGCAATATAAAAACTAAAACAAAAACAAAATCAAACAAAATAGTAACAACACTCTATTTCTTTTATTCTTTCACTGCCCCAAACATTATTCGTACAGGAATGAGCAAGACAGTATTTTAGTTGCTATTTTAGCCTATTTTGCTGACAAACCTGGTATAAGTTGGTGATTTATAAAGATCAACCTAAAATATATGGAGATAACAACCCACCTATTGTGCAGAGTCAATATTAGTAATGTTTTCTCCACAACTAGTTAGTTCAAAAGGAAAATGAAATGAAGAGTAGTTGGCATTTATTGAGCACTTTCTATGTGGCTCTTCTAGAGACTCTATATGGATAAATCCCTTTAATTCCCATCACAACCCTATGAGGGAAGTATATTCCCCTTGTTTTATAGATCAGAAACTGCAGACTCATAGAGGTAACTCACCCAGAACCACATAACTGGTGTGTGGAATTCAAACCTAAACAGCCTCACCCTAGAATCTCACTCTTAACTATTATTCTGTACTGCTAGGAGTTATCTTCAAGAATGAGGATTACCTTCAGCGCAGAGGGGCCCATCCTAAAAACTTACCCCACTGGGGGTTGTGTCCCTGGCAAACAGGGACCAGGTCTTCCACTTCATATCATGCTGGTACTGTGGGTGCACCTGTTCTCCCAGACCGTACACGTTAGCACTGGGCAGTCGGGTGGAGAGCTGCAGGAACTGATCGGCAAACAGGAGGGGTCCAATGCCTGAGTCCAGCCTAGACTCCAATGCAAAACGCAAGGACAAGTGGGCAAGTAGAGTGGAGAGGACACAACCTTTTAGAAAAATGTCCCTTACATTTTAATGACTCCTATCCCTTGCTTTAACTGGCCCCATTTGCCGTCTGGTGATGTTTTCCCATGGACACCAAGAGATCAGGGCTTTTTCCCTTAGATACTCTACTACATGGCCAAACTACTATTCTTACGTTATAATAGATGTTCCATAAATAGTTACTGGTGGATATGTGGTTAGATGAATGGAGGAAAGGGAAAAATAAGGCGGAAAAAATGATCACACAGTAATAAAAATGAAAGAAAAAAGGACCCAGCCCAGTGCCTGGCCCATAATAATGCTTAGTAATAACCACAACAACAACAAAAGAAGAAGCAGGAGGAGGAGGAGGAAAGAGGAAGGCAGAAGAAAGTATACATTTGGAGAGTCTGGTCACCAACAGTGGGCTCAAAACCTTCAGGAGCATTGTTGCAATGCATGCACCCTTCCTTAGGCTTGCAGACCTCCCTCCCCCATGCCCTTCCTACTCAGATCCCCAGACAGGTTTTCAAAACTTACAGAACACGATTATTACTTCTTCTGATCACTTTGATGCTAAATGGCTGTTTGGAGACCATAACTTCATAGGTCAAGGGAGAAGCAGCAACTCCTTTGAAGGGTTGCACATGTTCATGAGGTACTTCGTACCTGTCCTTGCTCTGGTCAGTTAGCTGCCCAGGACATGAAGGGAAAGAAAGCCAAAATGAAAACTCCTCAGTATTTCCAAAATGGAAACCTCCCTACCAACAGCAGTGCTTCCCAATGACTAGGCTCATGGTACTGAACTCAGGCACTGATCCAGATGGCATGATGTCCAAGGTAGACATATCCATTATATTACCAAATTCAAATGTTTAACACTTGGACAGAAGTTAGTTTTTTGGTATAAATAGACATTGTAAGTCTACAGAGATGAACTAGCTCTAGAATTTTCAAAGCTGTGATCATTCTTTTTCTTTCCCCTCCTGACTACATTTCACATGGTATCAGGGACAAATAAATAAAAGCCAAATTTCACCAGTTGACTCTATAATCTATATTCAGGAAATTATCACACTGAAGGAAGGCTACAGACGCCTTCAACAGATAGGTACTAAGTAAGAATAATGTCCGTAGAGAAAAACGCCTCTGTTAGCAACATTGTCAATCTTGAAGTAACTGCAGCCATCAGGTAGAGAACAAGCACTTTTCAAAAATATTTTTAAAGAATAAACAAACCACAACCTTAAAGTGGAAACGATTGGACGTCTGGTATTCTGCTGTGAGAAGGACATTGTTGACATCATTTCCAAATAAGGATGGAGAAGGCAACCTTTTCAACTGGGCTGTGAATCCTAGTATGTAGAGGGAAAAAGGTTTATATAGCTGGCTGTGTAAACTCGCAAGAAGTAGCCATATTTATGTCAAAGGGGCTGTGAAAAGCCTTTATTTCTCAAAAGAAGGGAAGAAATAGATGTCTACCCATCATTTGGTACTTTGGGCCAGATTGTAAAGCTAGGCACTGTCACTACCTTACCCATGCTTCTCGCTTACAAAATCAGCTTGAAACCTCCCCCAAAAGGCTTAATTCTCATTCCATCAGTCCATCAGCCATTCTGCATTAACCACATACCCTTTACACTCTTAGACATTGAGATATATATATATATATATACATACACACACACACACACACACATATATACATTGTTCCTCCTCAGTTATTTTCATTTTACATTACAGGTGATCATATATGCTGATGCCATCTCCCATTTTCTGTGATAAGCCAGGTGAGAATTGAGACCGTATTAGAAAAGACCATCAGGCCAAGACCCTTGGAGGGCAACATGCCTCTTCCTTTATGCTAAGAGCTTCCCCAAAGTAGTCACCCTCTATTATCTCCCAGAATGTTCATTATTAACCTCTGCATCTTGGGGTGGGAGAAAGAAGAGGAGACATTTAGTCCATGAACACTGACATTGACTAGCTAACTTTCATAAAAATGTTTATGGAATTGGAATTGTTTCCATATCATCAAAATCACATTGTATTAGAGTTGTAAGTAGTCTCAGAGGTTACTAAGTTCAAATCCCTCTCTTTAAAAGTTAGAAACTTGGGGACCAAAGACATCACGATGTTTGTACAAGGTTACCAAGGGACATAAAGTAGAGCCAGGAATAGACCATGTGTCCTAACTCCCAAGACTGGATTTTTTTCCTCGATGCCAAAATAGATCCTAGCCCTGGCTGAAGAACAGTGCCCACCTTCTGTAATAGGTGGTGGTGTGTGATACTCTGCAGGCCACTAAGGCTTTCCTCTGCAGCAAACAGAGGGTCTGGAGCCCCCGCCTCATTGTCTGGCTTACCTGCATTTGTTTTGACAAGGTCACCCTCCATTTGATAACCATGACTTTTAGAATAGTAGCACCAGGGCACACTTATGGTCCCCTGAGGTCTCCAGCAGCACCCACGCTGATCACATGTGGCCTGAAATAAGAGATTAGTCAAATAATTCCATTTATTTGTAGAACATTATTATTTAAAAATATATTTTGAGCTTGTGGTATCATTAACCCCATTTTATGATATTTAGAGAAACTGTGCTTTATCCCAGTCAATGCACAGCTTGTACTCAAAACTAATTTTTCTGCCCTATGTCCTACCCTGTTATTGTTATTTTATAATAATATAGGGACTGCAATGCAGTCCCATATCTGCCATCACAATAAAACTGGTAACTTTATTTAAATATCCTAAACTACAATATAATATCACCAGTAACTTAAAATTACAAATGCAGCTTCATTTATATTGGTCTGGGTATTTAAAAAAAAAAAAGGACTTTGCTTTATTCAGAAGCTTTGAAATCAGGTCAGTTTTGACTTTCAAATATGTCTATTATGGGGGCGCCTGGGTGGCTCAGTCGTTGGGCGTCTGCCTTCGGCTCGGGTCATGATCCCGGAGTCCTGGGATCGAGCCCCGCATCGGGCTCCCTGCTCCGTGGGGGGCCTGCTTCTCCCTCTCCCACTCCCCCTGCTTGTGTTCCCTCTCTGGCTGTCTTTCTCTCTGTCAAATAAATAAAACCTTTAAAAAAAAAATATGTCTATTATGTGTGTATGTGTGATGTATATGTGATACATACATACATATATACGCAGTCTCTCAACTTCTCCCAAAGCAGAAAGTAATTGTTCCTTGAAACCCAAAGAAATTCTAATTTTTAGTCAAGAAAGGTGCCCGCTTTATACCACAATTAACGACAGAATCGAGTGGAGATTAAAATGAACACAATCCCTTTCTCACATCAACTAATTTATTTGGGGGGGGCACCGGGGTAACTACAAAAAAGTACAAAGAAACCTCTTCCTCTTGAGTGTGGACTAGACCTAGTAACTTGTAACGAACAGAATAAAGCAAAAATAATGGGATGTTGCTTCTAAGATTAGAGTACAGAAAGATTATGTCTCCTGTCTGGCTTGCTCTCTTTCCCTTGCTCTACTAGAGCCCATGGCAAGGGACTAAGGGAGGTCTCTGGCCAGTGGCCTTCCAGGAACTGAGACTCTCATCCAACAATCCTGGAGGATCTCGATCCTGCTGACAATCATATGAATGAGCCTAAAAGGGATCATGCACAGTCCCAGCAGATGCCTTGATTGCAGTTTTCTAAAATACTTTGAGCCAAAATATACAGCTATATCAAAGCCAGATTTGTGACCATAAAAATATGTGAGAAAATTATGTTTGTTGTGTTAAGCCATGAAGTTTTGGGATAATCTGTCACAAAGCAATAAATAACTACTACATCCTACTACATATTTTAGAGATGAAGAACCTGAGACAGGCAGAAGTTCACAGAGGTGAAATGATGGGCCAAATGTTACTCAGTTAGCTATTGGGAATGCAAGCACCAAAACTTAGTTCTCTTGCTATCCACTGTCTTTTTTCTATACTCTGGGTTGAGTTTCAGTTAAGCACATTTTCAGGAGGACATGGCCTTGCTTTGCAAATGATAAGACAAAAAAAAAAAAAGGCTTAGGTATATGAACAATTGGATCTAAACACATGCTTATTTTTATGTGAATACTAATCTAAGGATGGAAAACTGTGTCCATCTGTGGACGACATGGCTGTGGGATCAGGCTGCACTGGGAAATCCACTTCAATCAACAGGTTTTGGGGGTTTTTTCCCTTCAAAACCCACTCAGATGAAACCTCAGTACATCAGGCAAAGAGAAAGGTGCTAAAAAAGGGGTTAAACAGATGGTTTCTGCATACTGCTCAGAGCTTAATAATTTCTTCATTGAACTGGAAGGGGCAAAGATCAAAGAGTGGCCAAAGCAGCCAGAAAAGTGAATAGTCTCTGTTGGCCAACTTGAAAATACCAGTTCCTGCAGTGGCCCTAAGCAGTCACGAGGAGTGGAAAGAGAAGCGTGGTGCACATAAACAGGAGAATAAAAAGATGTGAAACCTAAGGAAATCGCTGTAGAGAAAAGCTGTACAAAATGATGATGTGAACAGGACTGAAGGTGCATAAAGAGAAGAATTGGACCCAAGACACAAATGTCCCTTTAAGTTCAGGTAAGAATTTAAATTTAAGAGGAATTGCTGAAATAACATAGCATGAGTTCCAATACAGTATTAAAAACTCAGGGGAAAAAATCCTCAATACAAAAAAACTAAGGAAAGAAGACACGGATATGGGGATGGGGTGGGGGGCAGGTAGGGAGCAGCATATAACGAAACAGAACATATGGGAAACACAAAATGAGACCTTAGAAAAAAATTTATCATGTCAATTATCACATGTCATCTGCCAATACTTTAGAGGTCACTATTCTAAAATCGTGGGAAGCACAGTTTAGTAGAGCTCCTGGCTCATGCTCAGAAGGCATTGATTTAATGGACAGATTGACCTGAGCACACTGCTTCATTTCACTGACAAAGATTTGATAGTCCACAAGGAAACAAGACTTAGCGATCAAATCACAGAGTTTTTCAGGAGCAGAGCCAGAACTAGAACCTGGTACTGGGGCTCCCCTAACACTCTGCTGCCCAAGGGCTACACTACCAGTTCAAGGCACAGAGCATAAACTTAAGTATGTACGCAGGACCTGATAGCTCACCGCTCTTCCCAGCACTGTATCACGGCTCTTAACTAATGCTGTGTAAACACAGAGTAATTTTGAAGGTGGGGACTCATAATGATCTTTGCAAAATGCAATCTGCTTGCTGATATTCATAAAACTTGACCCATTAAACACTTATTGATAAGTGGAATATTATGCAGCCATCAAAAGGAATGAGATCTTGCCATTTGCAACGA